TAAAAATACAAAAATTATCCCGGCGTGGTGGTACACGCCTGTAATTCCAGCTACTTGGGAGGCTGAGGCAGGAGAATCACTTGAACCTGGAAGGCAGAGGTTGCAGTGAGCTAAGATCATGCCATTGCACTGCAGCCTGGGCGACGAGTGAAACTCCGTCTCAAAAGCAAACCAACCAACCCAGAATGTTTAGAATGGCAAGTATGAAATAAAAACACATATTTAATATTATACATTTTGAAAGCAAGTCAAATGTTACACATTTTATTTGAAAAATAATCTTGGTTTCTTTAATGTAAATGACAAAGTACAAATGGCTCAAATCCTCTCAGCTGGATGGATCGTGGTTTTACAAACTAAGACTACCCATCAAAATGTAGCTCCCATACCTATCTTACCCCTCCCTCCCGTTTCTATCACTAATACCCTTTAACTCTCGTAAATATTACCACAGCCACATAACTGCCTCTCATCTTCACCTCCTAAGAATTCTATCCTCATTGAGTTTAACACGGCCAAAAGTTTAAAGAAAATTATGTCCATCAAGAAGAACTAAAATTAATCACAAAAAAAAATTAGCAGAACACTAAACAATCGTTAACAATTATGGAAAGACATTTATCTACAATGGTCTTAATAATTAAGCCTTTGCTTATCTTTCTAGACCTCTAGTCACTCTCAATTCACATACTTCTGATTTACTGGGTTAGTGACAATTATTTGAGTAAACCATAACATTTTATGTAATACTCATACATGTTCAATATTTTCCTTCACCAGACTAAGTTCTTTGAGAGCAAAATCTGTTATCTTTTGTCTGTACTAAATAAAGGGCCTGGTCAACATCTGAAAATTAGCTAAATATTTCAGTACTTAAAATTGTGTCAGCCCACAAAGTTGGTACAGGAATATTTGCTAAAGTGTATCTTAAAAATAGCAACCCACGATTTCTTCTCTATCCTCCCTCAGATATTTCTGTTTGCTCTTACTCTCCCTTAATATTTATCCAATATAGTACTTAGCATTATCAGGGACTATGTTATATATTTCATCATTAAATCTTTAATCCAACACAGTGAGGTGTGTATGATCATCCCCATTTTATACACGAAGAAAGTGAGCCCTAAGAACAGTTAGAAAGAAGCTGGAACTGGGTTTTGAATCTAAGTGAAGCACATTCTAAGCCTACACTCCAAAAGCTTGTACTCTAAACCAGGGTATTACAAAGCCTCTCTAATATTTCTTATTTTATATCCTTTTTCTTTTTGAGACCCACCATCTACCACTATCATATTGGTGATTAGGTTTCAACAAGGGAGGTAGGGAAGTGCCACACAAATATTCAGACCATAGCAATGCCCCCTTTTAAGAGTGAGAAAAGCTTTCATAGATATTTTTAAAGGCAAGTCCCATTTATCTGTGAGATAAGAGAATGTTAAAACATGGTAAGTATATAAAAATGTTCCCTGAATGAGGGTAGTCGCTGTTATACTATTTTAAAAAATAATGCAGTAAAGCTAAGCTGGAGGGACCCAGTATTATGCTCAAACATGCGGAAGGCTTAGAAGCAGCAAATAAAGCCTAAATGTGCACAATGCGAACCTGAGGAAGTTGATATGCACCTGGACACTTGATGCAGCTGGCCTGGGAAGCGGGAAAACCAGAGGCCTGGAGGGCGGCTCAGCCTGCTGAACCGGGAAGCTGTGTGGGACATGTTGGCCTGCCCTGAAAACTGGGTGAGGGGACTCAGTGTGGCATCTGCCCAGCCGTGAGCTAGTTCTGGGCCAAACTACGAGAACTTAAAACTTCTAAAGTATCCCCTCTAAAAGCTACTTTAACTGCTAAAGGATCAATTACTTTCAGATTGGAGATGGAAGTGCTAGGGGGCAAGCCATTTTATTTATTTATTTTTTAAATATAAAAAACATTTGTTTTAATTAAAAAAAAAGAATAATTTCCTCTGAAATTGCACAATAAAAGAGATCTAAAACTTTGACTCTCAAATTGCTGCCTTAGCTCAAAACATCCCACTCAAATCTTAAATATATCTCAAAAAGGATACACACATGACTCTTCAAGTCATTTCTCAAACCTCTACGAACCAATTCATAAGCTTCTTCCTTTTTCCCCAAACAGTTCAGTGTTAATCCTTTCATTGCCAGGGTTTCTATTGTTAAAAACAAAGAAGAAAAGTAACATAAAAAACAGAAATTAAATATTGAAAATAACAACAAAACCAACAAATGCTACATTGGCCTAAGAATTAAAAATTTAAAGGAAACCACTCAGATATTTTCCAGTTTCTTGAAGATTTAAAATATTTTTTAACATTGACAGTCCAAGTAAGCACATTTCCAGACTATTCTTGGAAGGAAGCTCTATTTTTTTTTTTTTTTTAAGATAAAAAGATACAAAATGCATGCTATTTGACTAGAAAGATAATCTAGTAACTCATTTTTCAAGGGAATTCCATGGGATAACCTTACATATCTACTTCATTAAAATATAAAAAACTTTATCATGAAAACATACTTTATTTCCGTGAACCTAGGTTATATAAGGGTTAAATTCATTTTTCAGTGATTAAAAAAATACACATAAATTTCCTACATTTTTTATTTTCCTAAATTTACTTTAAAATGATTCTTTGAGATTACTATTAAAAGTATAGGAAAAAGAAGATGTCAGAAATGTCATTAGCAACCAAAAAATTAAAAGACAGTTAAAAGAAATATTAAGTTTTCAGAAAAGAGAAAAAATAAATTCTAATTTTATGTGTATCCTATGAAGCTTAAAGGAATCAAGAATATTATTTGCCTTTTTCATTTGTTTGATGGATTTGCCTAACTTCTTACACTATAGAGAGAAATTAATTAGGCACAAATGCTAAGTATTAAAGATAAAATTCTGAGGAATAATCAACATGTACTGTTTAAAAATCCTTTCAGCCAGCCATGGTGCCTCACGCCTGTAATTTCAACACTTTAGGAGGCCAAGGTGGGCAGATCACTTGAGGTCAGGGCCAGCACGGCCAACATGGTGAAATCCCATCTCTACTAAAAATACAAAAGTTAGCCGGGCATGGTGGCGGGCACCTGTAATCCCAGCTACTCGAAAGGCTGAGGCAGAAGAACTGCTTGAACCCAGGAGGCAGAGGTTGCAGTGAGCCAAAATTGTGCCACTGCACTCCAGCCTGTGTAACAGAGCAAGATTCCATCTGAAAACAAAACAAAAAAACCTAACAATAAAACTTTCAATGAAATTATGACAATTTATATGCAATCTGATTTCAGATATGTTACAGTGGTAGGGGAGGGAGCTGGAGAATCACATTTTAGAAACAATGAAATAGGCTGGGCGCAGTGGCTCATTGTAATCCCAGCACTTTGGGAGGCCAAGGTGGATGGATCACCTGGGGTCAGAAGTTTCAGACCAGCCTGGTCAACATGGTGAGAACTCACCTCTACTAAAAATACAAAAATTAGCCTGGTGTAGTGGCACATGCCTGTAATTCCAGCTACCTGGGAGGCGGAGGTAGGAGAGTAGCTTGAATCCAGGAAGTAGAGGTTGCAGTGAACTGAGATTGTGCCACTGCACTCCAGCCTGGACAACAGAATGAAACTCCAATTTAAAAAAAGAAGAAGAAGAAGAAAACAGTGAAATAATATAGGGAAAACTGAATTTTAGAAATAATGAAATCTGATACTTTTCTGTATTAAACACATTATTATTAGTAAGCTTATTTTAGAAATGAATATCAAACAATTTAATGCCCAGCTGGTAAGCAAAAATAATTTTTAACATGGAAAGACAGATAGATAAATTTATTTCTATTTATTTATGTTTTTTAAAATATATTTTTTGTTATAATTAAAAAGGGTCCTGCTATGTTGCCCAGGCTGATCTTGAATTTCTGGCCTCATGCAATCCTCCTGCCTCGGTCTCCTACAGTGCTGGGATTATAGGAGTGAGCCACAGCACCAAGGGGGGAGATAAATTTAGATACTTTTATCTCCACTGTTTTCTATCTCCAAATAATTACATTTAAAAAGAAAGCATAAAGTGAAATGCAGCCAAAGAAAGTGAGAATTACTATAAATATAGGTTAAAAAAAAAAAAGGCAAGGAATCTAATGGAGAATTATTACTCTTCCCCTCCTCTTCAATACTAAGAGTACATTAAGTTAGTAAAGAGCCATATTTCTTTACATATCTCTGTACAAATCAGACCTGCGAAACTTATTTTTCCTTTACCTCCTCACAAGTTTAGCCACATACTCTCCCTTTGCTCTACAAATATCTCACCATCCAATAATCTAACTTCATACAGGCAAAAGCTAGTAAACTTTCAGAACATTACAATATAAAAACCATGTCTTAAACATGACTCGGTCTTGAGAAACTGAAAACGTAAATTAAAAAGTTAGTTCATGAGCAAAGGACCAAATAGTCACTTTCTGAATAAGCTTACTATAAAGCATAAAATTTATCCAGCTCAACCAAAGTTCTAAAGTAAATTTTGGCATTCTACCCTATTAAATTCTTCCTCTTTTCCTACAGAGCTAATATCAAACTAAAGATAAATCAGAACTCAAGTAGAATGTGTTAACATTTTCTTAATATTAAATTCAAATTCCGTATTAAATTTCACCTTCTCACAGAAGTCAAAGATGAGGGTGTCTGCTCTCTCTGGCAAATGGAAATAATACAATCCAGTAAGAGAAGCCAGACAAGTACGTAGTAAAGCCTTATCTACTTGCACTTACCTCCATGCTCTGCAAATTTGGGATTAGAAAGTATTTGTTTACAGAATTTCAGTCCATTCCTATACTGTTTATGTTCATAACACCTCTGTCAAAACAAAAAAGAAAAATTTAAGTTTAGCAAGGAATCTCAAACAACTTTAAATTCAATGCTAAATTTCTATTCTGTTAAATACAACAAAATGTTATTTCCATCTGCTTCTAAATCCCAGTAAAATGCCAATAAAAAATACAGAAGGTTCAAAGACAGAAAGTAAAAGAAAAAGGAATAGAATATAGATTAGTAAAAATAAGAAAAGCATAAGCTCGCTCCAAAAAGTCCAACAACTGAGTGATGCAGAAAGAGAACAGAAAAATAAAAGGTATAGAATTTATTTTATTTTATTATTATTATTTCTGAGACTGAGACTCACTCTGTCATCCAGGCTGGGCACAGTAGCGTGATCATAGCTGACAGCGGCCTTATCCACCTGGGCTCAAGGAATACTTCTATCTCAGCCTCCCAAGTAGCTAGGACTACAAAGCACATACCACCACACCTGGCTAATATTTTTATTTTTTGTCAGGGTCTCACTACGTTGCCTAGGCTGCTTTCAAACACCAAACACCATCTCTACTAAAAACACAAAAATTAACCAGGCATGGTGGTGCCGCCTGCAATTCCAGCTACACAGGAGGCTGAGGCAGGAGCATCACTTGAACTCAGGAGGCAGAGGTTAGAGTGAGCAGAGATCATGCCACCACACTCCAGCTTGGGCAACGGAGCGAGACTCCACCTCAAAAAAAAAAAAGAGATCCGAAGAGGCCCATGCCCCATTATGAAGAGGCTGCCCTTGCAGCTCAGGTGAGGTGGCTCACTCCTGTAATCCCAGCACTGTGG